CTCTCTCTGTCAAATAAATAAATAAAATCTTTAAAAAAATAATAATAATTCCTATTGTGATAACTTGCCTGACAGCACTCCTCTAATAGGTAAACCAGCCAATCCCAAGTCCATACTCCTAACCACCTCCTTTATCTAACAGTCACACACCAAGCTAATATTCCCCTGCCCTAAATCAATCCAGGGCCAGGTAATAGAAAATTAAGGACAATCCCAATGTCCCAAAGCCCAGCAGAATTATTCAAACCAGCCAATCCTAAACTGTTTACCCTGCTCTGCCTATCCTTTCCCATGAAAATGCCAGTAAAAGCTATGGTCTGTAGTGCATTTGTAGTGATGAGCACTCGGTGATGTATGAAGCGTTGAATCACCACACTGTACACCTGAAACTAATATAACACTGTATGCTAACTATACTAGAATTTTTTAAAAAAGCACTCATATCTTAAAAAAAAAAAAAAAAAAAAAGGCCTCCTAACACTGGTGCTTCTCTCTGTGGCCCTGTGTGATACTATAATCTATAAGAAAAACGTATTTGGTCACTCAGATGACCAAAATATATTTCTCATATATATATGGTACTGTCAATGGTTCCTGGCTCACAGCTTCCAAAAGCCTTGGAATTTCCGGAGTGATAAGGAGCATCTTTTGCCATCCTATTGGTCTCCTGCCCTGTTTCTGAAATTGCTTTAGAGCCATAAAGGTGAAATGGGTGTCTTATTATTCGTAATAGCCCTTTTCCACTACAACTGAGTTTACATTACTGATGTGACTTGTGGAAAGCACTTAAAGATGGTGGCTGGTTGCCAGGGCAACCAACCAAGAATACAGGGGTGAAATTTTCAGTCCCACCCCCTGATCTTTAGGGATGGGATAGGGGCTGGAAGTTGAATCAATAACCAATGGTCAATGACTTAATCAATCATACCTATGTAATGAAGCTTCCATAAAACCCCAAAAGGACAGGGTTTGAAGAGCTTCCAGGTTGGTGAACATGTGAGGATGTGGAGAGAGTGACTTGTTCAGAGAGTATGGAAGCTCCACACCCCTTCTCCATACCTGCCCTCCATATGTCTTCCATTTAGCTGTTCCTGAGTCATATATTTTTATAATAAATCAGTAATCTAGTAAGTAAAATGTTTGAGTTCTATGAGTGGTTCTACCAAATTAATTGAACCCAAGGAAAGGGTGGTGGGAATCTCTAATTTATAGCCAGTCAGAACTACAAGTAACAACTAGACTTGTGACTGGCATCTATAGTTTAAGGAGGAGGCCTGGGAACCTCCATTCTGTAGCTGGTGGGTCAGAAGCATACAATAACCTGGGCTTGTGGCTAGGCGAGGGGTGTGAAGTGGAGAGGGGTGTCAGTCTTGTAGGACTGAACCCTTAATCTGTGGGATCAGATGCTATCTCCCAGGAGATGTGGCAGAATTGAGTTAAACTGTAGGACTCCTGGCTGATGTCACAGAATTGCTTATTGTTGGTGTGGGGAACCCTCTCAGTGGAATTGGGACCCAGAAACTTTGACTCTGCCTCCCATTTCTAGGGCAACTTTGAGTAATATTAAACTTTTCTTTCAATGACACTGACCTCTCTGTGTCATCATGCAGTCACTTTTTATAAACTAAGACCCAAAGACAACTCTATTCTTTTAATTTTTTTCCAGTCATTTACAAATGTAAAAAAACATTCTGTGGTCACAGAGTGCAAAAACAGGCAGCTGCCCAATGTGGCCTGAGAGAGGCAATTTACAACCCATGGTCTACAGCCATTCTGCCTTGCTCTCCCACTAACTAGCTGTGTGTTCCCCAATAAGTGGATTAATCTGTAGGTCTCAATTCCTTCATGCCTAAAATGAGGTTAATAGAATCTGCTTCATAGAGTTGTTAGGAAGTATTAAATCAGTTAATACATTTAAAGTACCTAGAATCATGCAAAATACATAGTCTCAGTGATTTCTGACACCAACCAGCTGGAATTGGGCCAAACTTCACAGGTCTTCATAAGACTGCCCTCACTTCGGTCACCAGCCAGAAGCCCAGGAGTTCTCAGGGCCCCACTCTGGGCTACTCTGGCTAGTGGGCCAAAAATCCAGGAGTTTCCAGTACCCCCTCTGATACTTTGATAATTCACTTCAGTGACTCACAGAACTCAGGAAAGCACTATACTTATGATTACAGATTTATTATAGCATTAGGATATGAATGAGAACTAGCCAAAGGGAGAGACTCATAGTGTAAGATCTGAAAGGGTTACAAAAGTGAAACTTCTGTTGTTCTCGCTGTGTTGAATCAGGATGTCATACCCTCCAAGCACATCAATGTATGACAATACATATAATATTGCCAACCAGGAAAGTTCACTTGAGCTAGATGTCCAGAGTTTTTATTGAGGTCTCATTATCTAGGCACTAATGACTGAATCACAGGCCTTCAAGCTGAACTCAATCTCCAACCCTGCTTCACTCCCCAGAGGTCAAGAAGTCCTCCAAATGTATCTTGTGATGCTCCCTTAGGCAGCACATATACAAATGTATCTTGTGATTCAAAACCCCAACTCTCCAGTCACATGGTCTTTGTGGAGTGGCCAGCCCCTACCCTGAGTCATCTTCTTGGTGTCAACTATCCAGGGACCCACCATGAATCATCTAGGTAGGATGAATTATCAGGGCCCACCAGGGATATTACTGGGGAAATTCCAAGAATCTAGAGGCTACCCTTCGGTAACCAAGGACAAAAATCTTTATTTTGCCAGCCATATTCTTTACTCCAAGTAAATGCTTTATAGGTATTTCTTTTTGTTATAACTTTTAAGCCATATGGAAACTGGCACAACGTGGAAGGTGATCATCCAAAAAAATATCTATGGACACCTACCAGGACACTGATTAATGTTGCACTAGATCAATCTGGAGCAACAGTGTCTTCATAACATCGAACTGCCCTGTGGAGGAAAACTGTCCCTAGGTTTTTTTCCAAGTTTTTTTTTTTTTACTATTACTCAGACGAGTTAGCTACTGGTCTTCATATTTGTGTAATCGAAATTAATTTGTGTGTTCTTAGAAAATATGCCATTGTTAGCTTTGATTTACAGGCATTCTAGTGAAATCTCTGAGACGTATTTCCCCTTTGCTCAAAACGTTATACTCACAGGTCCATTCAGAGAAGCAGAAAGGCTGAACACAAAAATCCGAAAGGCTTTGGGCTCAAACTGAAATTCCAGAGTTAAGTCCTCAAACCTTTAGTGAAACGTGCTCAAGCCTGGTAGAATTCTCGAAACATTGTAGGTCTTGCCTCTATCGCTAGGCTCGTGGCTCCGTGCGCGCGCGTTAGACCTTCCATGTGGGTCTTTTTGGAGGAAGGGCTTGGAAACCCGGGGGTGGGGGGACCAGGGGTGCAGTGCTGAGATCAGGTGCAAAGCGCCCGGACGCCCTACGCGCTCCCGGCCTCTCGCTGCGCATGTACAGCGTCGCAGCGCAGGCATTCTGGGAGATGTATTTTGCAGTCGAAGGCAACGGGCTCCTGCGAGCCCCGCGCGCGCGGCGCCCTCTTCCGCGCATGTGTGCCCTTCCTGTTCTCACCGCAGTGCCCCGGGGGCGGGGGCGAGTCCGGAGGCTCTAAGTACCGCGCCCGGTTGGTCTTCGTCTGGGCTGGAGGTGCGCCGAGGAAGTGGGCGCGGGCTCGGGGAGGTGGGGGAAGAACAATAGGATTCAGCAGGACTTTGGAGTAGGCGTGGATCGGGATGTGTCAAAAGTTACCCTCCTCAACCTGGGTCCGTGAGCCCGGAGTGGGCGGGGTCCCGGGACTGCGTTCTTGCTGGTGTCGCGCTTCAGGTGTCGTGCCTGGAGCGCATCCGGCGCATCCAGGGGTGCCAGTGCGCGCCAAGTGGTGGACACCAAGGTGAGGAGCGCCCTCCGGGGTGTGGAAAGAGAACCAAGCTTTACTGAAGGTCTGAAATGTTCCAGGTGGAGTGCTACCTGCTTTTTCAAAGGCATCTAACCTTTAACCCTTACAGCAACTCTCTAAGTCAGCTTTTCAAACCATCGGCTGCAACCCAGTAGTGAGTATGGGTGGTGAAATCTGTTTAATGAGCTAAGACTAGTATTATTATTTGCCAGTACTTTTAGGTCGGATATAATTTACACAGAATGATTTGCATATAATTTACAGAGAACAAAAGTGTAAAATTTGTTGATGCACACATGTAACTACCACCCCCATCAAACATTTTAATCCCCCAGAAAGTTCTGCTCCATTTTAGTCAACTCCTCCCCCCACCTGTTTAAGAACCAACCAGTTTCCAATTTCTATCTTTATTGGTTAGTTTTGCCTTTGTAGAACGTCATATGAATGGAATCCTACAGTAAGCAGGCACTTAAAAAAAATAGATAAAATACTGTAAAATAGCACATGTGTATTCCCTTGTGATAAGGATTGTTTTATGAAATTTACTACATATAACTGTATTTTTTAAAAGACTATTTATTGGGCATCCATGAACCGGACACTGTTTCTAGTGCTGGGGATACAGTACTGAATATACAGTACTGAATCAAGCTCCCTGCCTTTATGAAATCTTAGTTTTAGTAAGTAGAGACAGTCAGTTAACAATAAGCATAATCATATAGTATATTAGATAGTAAATTATATATTAGAATTTATACACAAAGAAAAAGTAGATCAGGGTAAGGGAAATGGGGGGGATTAAATTTAACTTAGGTAGACAGTGGAGGCCTCCTTGGTGATTTTTGAGTAAAGAGTTGAAGAAGTAGAAGAGTGGGGATGCCTGGGTAACTCAATCTGGTTAAGCATCTGACTCTTGGTTTCTGCTCCGGTCATGATCTCAGGGTCATGAGATGGAGCCCTGTGTCTGGCTCCATGCTCAGCTGGGGGTCTGCTCGAGATTCTCTTCATCTTCCTCTGCCCCTTCCTCCCCGCCCCCCCCCGTCTATCTCTCTAATAAATAAATCTTAAAAAAAAAAAAAGAAAGAAAGAAAGAAAGAAATAGAAGAGTGTGCTGGGTAGAGGAAACAGCCAGCAGGGACACACACACACATTAACATATTAACATTAGGTTGTTCTGTAAAATATGTTTGTTACCTTAATCAAAATATGCTTCTTACCTTAATCTCAGATATAACACAGATATGATTTCTAATTTTACTGAGGCTGGAGAGGTGAGGTTGACTGACTTGCCCAAAGTCAAACAGCCAGAGGTAAATTCAAGCCCAAATATTTTCCTCCAAATCTCCTACTCTTTATATGTCTCCCAACCTAAAACATAGCATTTAACTGACCTCTCCTCCCCCTTAGCTTAAAACACAGGGATCGGCAACTCAGCTCCCCGGGAAAGATTCCAGAAAGACTGTGGCACGAATCTCACGATGTGGACATTATATGTCCAGGGTCTGTTGGTTTCTCTTCCGCAGTTCCTGGGTCCCACTGAGAACCTGTTGCTGGTACATTCTACCTTCAGACTCCAACCTGTCTGTTCCTACAGCCCTGGTTAGAATCCACAGAAGGCATGACTAAATGGTCAGAGAAGGATGTGCACCAACTGCCATTACATATTGATAAATATTTGGCAACATCATTTTTGATGACTGTAAATTATCTTTGGAGTATATATCTGTTTGTTTTACCAGTTCCTTAATTTGTTCCAATTTTTCAGTATGTTAAGAAGTGCTGCAACAAATAGTCTTACAGCTAAATCTTAGTGCAAATCTGTGGTTTTTCTCACAATGAGTTCTGGAGGGCCCAGGAGACATTCTCTCACAGAGTGGCTTCCCCTACTGAACTGTTGAGGCAGCTGTGGATGGCTTTGTTACACCAGGGATTCTGGGATCTTCAAGTCATACCTGGTCTCTCATGGCTCCATCTCTCCCCCTACCTCTGTGTTCATAGATCTCTGTCTTCACCCAAAGGCTGCAGAAAATGACCAAGTCCCAGGTGAGTTAGTTTGTTCCATTCATTATATAGGAACAGTAGTGGAGGACTGTAAAAATGACCATGTGAGCTAAAATCATGCAAAGAAATCTTAATAATCAATGGGATTTTTTATATTGGTTATAGTTGTTCTGTGACCTTTAAAAATGTTGGTTAAAACATTAAATCCTCTTACTGTTGGTCATACAAGTATAGGAAAATGAAAAATAGCAAAACAGATATTTAGTACATTGTTAATTTAAACATTGACAATTAAAATGCTTTGTTAAAAAAAACTTATCAAGAGCATTTTGAACAGTGCCGCCTTCTCTTTGTATAACTTGATACCAAGTGAGCATCTTTTCTGTGCCTTGGCAAATTGGATCGGATTCTGATATTTGGTCCTTTACATCTAGGACAATCAGTTCTGGATGTGTATGGGGTGTTCAGTAAATATTTGCTTAATGACAATGAAAGAATTGCCTAATGAATAATGAATATTCAGTGTAAAATGTTTCAAATATGATTTTTGTGTTACCCACAAAATGGAACATAAAACTAGACAAATGGGCATCAAAGCATAGGGCAGGAGAAACAGAATGAGACCAAATTAGTATACTATCACCCAAAATGAAATGGGGCCAAATTTTAAGAAGCATTATCAAATAATGAGCATGCTTTAAACAAGTTGCCATGCTTTTTTTTTTTCCATTTTGTGCAGTACTGATGACTTTAGTTGGAATAGGAATGTGTTGTTGCAGGGACCAGTATCATTCAAGGACGTGGCTGTGGATTTCACCCAGGAGGAGTGGCAGTATCTGGACCTTCCCCAGAGGGATCTATACAGGGATGTGATGCTAGAGAACTATATCAACCTCATCTCAGTGGGTGAGGACCATTTCCCAGTGTTGACTGGCATGTGTTTAGTTAACTACCTTACCTTTCTCAGTTGCTCCAAATAATCAGCCCTTTGAAGTACTTTTACAAGTATGGCTCTGGGTCTTAGTAGATTTAAGATTGACAGTCTTTGGGAGGTCTGGCTTCAAGTTTGTTTAAAGACCTCTCTTTTTCAGGTACAAATGGGCACCTTCATCAGGAAGTCCCTGATGAAGTTCAGAGTTCAAAGGACCTGAAGCCCAGGTAGCTAGGTCCAAATCCTCTATCATTTCCCATTGACAGGATATCAAACCACAAAGCCATCTGTGATCCACAAGTTGGAACAAGGTGAAGAACCATGGATGGTGGAGAGAGAAATCCCAAATTGGAACTATGCAGGTGAGTTAGGTAAAGGACTCTGTGGATGGAAGTGAATGAAATTAAGATCACAGTTGCTCTGATGGTTACCAGAGCAGAGATAGTGGGAGGATGGCTGAAATAGGTGAAGGGGATTAAGAGTATACTTGTCCTGAGCCCTGAGAAATATACGGAACTGTTGTATCACTATATTGCATACCTGAAACTAATATAACACTATATGTTTACTGGAATTTAAAAGAAAATTTTTTAAAAGATCACAGTTGATCAGTAAGGGTTGGCATCTTTGAAAAATATGCTTCAGGGCTCTCTTCTTAAAGCCTTTGGCCCTTTGAAAACAACTGGGATGGTTGACATAAGTTCCTTATTTACCTGAATGCCATTTCCATATATCACCTTCCCACATTAATGCTCTTCTCTGCATGGCTATTAGAGAGTGACATTTTCCCTTCCAGGTATATTCTGCCTGTGATTCTTAACCAACTTCATTTAAGACTTTGAGAAGTTTTTTTGCCTTTTTTTAATTTTTGCAAAATATACATACCATAGAATTTACTATTTTTAAGTGTATGGTTCAGCGGCATTAAGTACATTCACGTTGATGTGCACCATCACCACCATCCATCTGCAGAACTCTTTTATCACCACCAGCCGAGACTCTGTACCCGTTAAACTATACCTCCCCGCCCTACCTCCCCTGCTAGCTACTGCTAACCACTACTTTACTTTCTTTGCTCAGAATCTTACCATTCTGGATACCTCATATAAATGGAATCAAACAGTATTTGTCCTTTTATGTCTGATTTATTTTACTTAGTATATCTTCGAAGTTCATCCACGTTGTGGCATGTGATAGAATTTGATTGATTTTTAGGGCTGAAGAATACTCTGTTGTATGTGTATACCACATTTTGTTTATCCATTTATTTGCAATGAACGTTTGAGTTGTTTCTACCTTTGGGCTCCTGTGAATGATGCTTCCAAGAACGTTGGTGTCCAAATTTCTGTTCGAGCCCCTGCTTCCAATTCTTTTAGGTATACACCCAAAAGTGAATTTGCTGGACCATGTGGTAATTCTGTGTTTACATTTTTAAGGAATTGCTGTGATGTTTCCCACAGCTACCACACAATTTTACATTCGCACCAGCAGTGCACAAAGTTCCAATTTTTCCACATCCTCACTGACGCTTGTTATTTTTTGTTTTGTTTTTCTAGTAGCAATCCTAATGGGTATGAAGTGGTATCTTATGGTTTTGATTTGCACTGAATGACTAGTGATGTTGAGCACATTTTCATGTGTTTTTTGGCCATGTGTGTATCTTCCTAGGAGAGGTGTCCAGTCTAGCCTCTGGGGAACCAGTGTTGGATAAAGAATAGAAATCTACTCACTTTCTTTAAAGACTGATGGCTCATATGTCAGGAACTGGGTTAGGAAGTTCAGGAGAATTATTGAATTCTGAGCCAGGGAATGACTTTATTGCTCTGGATGTAGGTAGCATAAGTTTAACAGTAGTCAAGTACTGTCAGAGGTTTATAAAATAGCTGAAAATGAAGACAGATAGGGTTTTAGATCCAGAGTGAGAAATCTGCTGCTTAGCGTCTCCACATTAATAGAATCCAGAAATTTGGAAAACACGATGTAAAGCAAAAGTGGCAAGCACATAGTTGTCAGTAATAATACGTGTAATAATGGTATCTAACTGACAAAATGTATTATGTGTGAGGCAGTATTCTGAGTACTTTACATCTATTGACTCATTTAATTGTCATGACAACACTACAAGGTAGGTGCTATTATTATCCCTTTTTTTATAGAAAGGGAACTTGAGGCCCAAAGAGATCAAGGAACTTGACCTCTGCCACATGTCTAATTAGTGATGGAGGTAGGATTGAAACCCTGGTAATCTGGATTTAGTACCTGTTTTCTTAACTGTGATTCCTCTTCTATATGTGCTAGGTAGAGAAGAAAGGGGGTAGAGTATTTAAAAGTCAGGATTAATGTAGTATCTGTGAACTATTAATAGACTAAGATGACACACTCAGGAGTGAGAATTCAATAGTTAATCTAACCCTGAGGCATTTGTATTTGGCTTATTCTGTGGCTTATTTCTCTCTTACTGGACACATGGGTTCCTGGGACTTCACACCCATATAAGAACGAATTACTGCTACGGCTTTCTGAGGCACTGGCTACTGCTTGCAAGTGGGCTCGATGGCTTTGTCAAGTCCGTTTCATGCTGATGGATGACTAGACGAGCTCAGAGACACTGGAAGCAGAGAGACGAGTGAGGATTAAACTAGAGCAATCCAACAATGAGTCGATGAGACACCAGCTCAGATCTCTCTGTTCCTCATCCAATCTCTCCTTTATTTCCTCTGATCACCATTTCAGCCAGTCATTGTAATTCTCTAGATGGGCTCTTCCTATTGACCCCGTAACAGCTGTCCTCCTTTGTTCCTTTTTATTGCACCTTGTAATTATTTTTGTTTTTCTTCCCAGTTTGCAAAGTCCTATTTGCAGACAGCCAGATATATTTGTGTTCTTTGTCATATTCTCTATTTCTGTTTCTACGAATATGATTTTTTTTTAAGTTGTGGTTTTCTTACAAAGCTCAGGGGTATAGATTCCATGTAGCCTTGGTATTTCTGTTCATTAGGGATACTAGGCCTTAAAGTAAAGATTCAATCTCACAATAGGGTGAAAAGTTATGAACCATAATACATTAGCAGAAATACTCACAAACAGAGCTAATTATGCTTCCTTATAGAAGAAGTCTGGCAACTTGATAACCCCTTGGAAAGACACCAAGAGAACCAAGAAACATTTTTGAAACATGTTGCATTCATTGACCAGGAAACTGTGACTGGGGAAAAGGGCAACAAATGTAATGCACTTAGAAATATATTTCCTCTGAGCACAGACTTTGTTTCTTCCAAACAAAGACTCCAAAAATATGCCTCCTATGGTAGGAGTTTGAATTATTTAGGCTCATTTAGTGGTAACAGAAGAAAGAATGAATGTAGCGAATGTGGGAAAGCCTTCTTCCAGAAGTCAGACCTCATTATACATAAGAGAACTCATACAGGAGAAAAGCCCTTTGTGTGTACGGAGTGTGGAAAGGCCTTCAGCAAGAAGTCCAACCTTGTTATCCATTTGAGGATCCATACTCAAGAGAAACCTTACGAGTGTACTGAATGTAGAAAATCTTTCGCCCATAAGTCACACCTCATCGAACATCAGAGAATCCACACTGGGGAGAAACCCTATAAATGTGGTGAGTGTGGGAAAGCCTTTTTCCAAAAATCACACCTCAACATTCATCAGAGAACTCATACTGGAGAGAAACCCTATGGGTGCGATGAATGTGGGAGAGCCTTCAGCATGAAGTCACACCTCTTTGTACATCAGAGAATACACACAGGAGAGAAACCTTATGTGTGTACCAGGTGTGAGAAAGCTTTCAGTGAAGTGTCATGCCTTATGAGACATCAGAAAATCCATACTGGGGAGAAACCTTATGAATGTAATGAGTGTAAAAAAGCCTTCTCTGAGAAGTCTGACCTCATTATACATCACAGAACTCACACAGGAGAAAAGCCCTACAAATGCAATCAATGTGGGAAAGCCTTCAGACATAGCTCAGCCTTCTGTCGACATAAAAGGACTCATCAAGAAAAAATTCCTTAAAAGAAACTAATATGGGAATATCTACAAATAAAAGCCTCAGTAGAAATCAAATCTTAGTATGTATCAAGAAGTCAAGCCTATTCAACATATTTTTAAAGTATGTAGCTATGTTTTTGTAGAAATCGTATTCCATATGTGATGCCAAAGCATTTCTCAAAGATATTACAGAAAGTACACCTCGTTGAAGGATAAACGCTCACTATGGCCTACAAAGACCTTTGGAATATTAGTAAGTGGACTAGTCAGAACAAAATTAGAAAAGCATATGTGGACAATTTGCAAAGTATGAAAGCATTATAGTCCTAGTTGTATTATAATATGTTATACGCCACATAACATAAATCATATATTGGAATTGTATATTTGAAGTTAACATAAATATGAATATAAAATAAGTATTACATGTACAATGCCATCTACCAAGATCTTCCACATTGAATAATACTATTTTTCTTCTATTTAACAGAAAATATGTCATTCAAGAAGAATTTAAAACTAATATTATATGTCAACTATACTTCAATTAAAAAGATTCTAAAGTGTAAAATTAACTTTTTTTTCCTGTTCATTGCTAGTACATGTGTGTGTGTATGTATATACGCATATATATGACTTCTGCTCATTTTGATCAATGAAAGAATATGAAAAGGTGTTGTTGTTGTTCATATGTACATACGACATAGATATATGAGAATGAGCGAAAGAAAATAGCCATGGCTTCTTACAACATTCACTATGATTTAAATAATTGTTTTTGGTGACTAAATTACCCTCTTCTTACATACTGTTATTGTCTTCACTAATTAAAGCCCTAATGCCCAGTACCTTAGAGTGTGACTGTATTTGGAGATAGGGCCTCTAAAGCACAATGAAGTTAAAATGAGGCCATTAGGCTGGCCCCTACTCCAATCTGACTGGTGTCCTTATAAGAAGAGGAGATTAGGACACTAGGGATGCAGGTGACAGAGGAAAGACCCTGTGAAGAGGCAGCAGGAGGGTAGCCTCAGAGGAAACCAACTGTGCTGGCACCTTGATCTTGGACTCCCAGCCTCCGGAAGTGTGAGAAAATAAATTTCTGTTTCTTAAGCTACCCAGTTTATGACATTTTGTTATGGCAGCCCTAGCCCAAGCTCTAGCCCTAATACGTACACTACTGCTCTTTTTCACTGGATTACTTCATAAAGCTGAAGATACAAATTATAAGTACTCCATAACCCAACAATATGTTTGGGGGTTCATTTTACTGTGCACCATTTCCGTCTATTTGGCATTTCCTAATTCACCTTGTGATAGAATAGTAAGAAATACTTTAATAAGGATTTTACAATTCAGAAATGTAGGGACTTTTTTCAGAGAGAATCATTCATTTTTATTTTATATTTTTAAGATTTTATTTATTTGGCAGAGAGAGAGCGCACAACAGGGGGAGCAGCAGAGGGAGAGGGAGAAGCAGGCTTCCCGCTGAGCAGGGAGCACGACGTGGGGCTTGATCCCAGGACCCTGAGATCATGACCTGAGCCGAAGACAGATGCTTAACCAGCTGAGCCACCCAGGCACCCCAGAGAATCCTTCATTTTTTAAAATAAAATTTGCAGAGATATCCTGCAAATTTACATATGACTATCTACGGCATTAGAAATCAACTTGTTCCTTATTTATTAATTCAAGATGGAACTTCATTCTTCAGAAGTGAGTTTTAATAGAGATTTAGGAATACAGACAGGAAACATACAAGAGTTGGTGTGAGAGGTCTCGTTCTGGAGCCAGCTAGATCTAGATTCTGGATTTGCTTTGAGCCTCATGTTCTCTTCTGTGAATTAGAATCGTGCCATGATTTCTTGGGTTATTGCCAGGATTATACAATATAATATATGTATGGTCCTCATAAGATGTTAGCTATTTTTGTATTTTCCAAGGGTATAATTGGAGTTCCCATTGTAATTAAACAGTTAAGGAAACAGTTCACTGTGATCAGTGCTTTGATGTAGGGAGATTGGCCTGTGGGGGTTGCATGCATCATTCTGTTTCATTCTCACAAGGGTATGGGGCTGGAATCACTGCCCTGCATCTTTCCTGTATTAAGCTGCTTTGTTTAGAGGTTGCTCCTAGAAGTGTACTGCTAATGTAACAAAAACTAAAAGAGGTAACATTCGCCAAATCCTGGGGCAGTGAGAAAACCGATGTTAGAGCCAAACTGGCAAAACATATGGTAAAATTGTCTCCTCTACATAAGCCGACTGTGCTGACACCTCTAGAAGATACTAGAAAACAGAATATTGGCAATATTTGCTGATTGATCTTAGCTGTCTTTGGCAAACTATTACAAGAAAGAGATAAACTTGGGCAAAATTAATGATTGACCAGCCAAAATGAAAGCAAATAGAGTCCAGACATTTGGAGTCTTACAGAGTTAAAGAAAAACCAACTATTCTAGATTTCAAATGACAAGAGAATGATTTAAAAGACTTTATTTTCTTTAAACAGGCCCCACGCGCAGCGTGGAGCCCAACATGGGGCTTGAACTTACAACCCCGAAATCAAGACCTGAGCCAAGATCAACAGTTGGACGCTCAACTGACTGAGCCAACCAGGCACCCCTAAAAGACTTTAAATATCAACAACCTGATAAACCTTTTCAGTGAGATAAAGGGACTCAGAAAAAAAAGATCCTATTAAGGAGCTAAAATCTCATTCAAGCCTGTCATCCTCAAAGGAGAGCCTCATCTGCCACTCTGGCTGCATATTAAGAAGCTCAATTTTAGTCAGCTGCAGCTGAGAAGACTGGGGCTTCCATGCCCAACCTAGCTCCTGCCTTATACAGCAGAGGCTTTACCCACGGCAAGGAAGGCCAAGAGTCCTGGGGCCCTGATCCCACCCCACCCCCCATACTCTAGTTTGTAGGGCAGATGTTTCATGCTGGGGGCAGGATGAAAGGACAGCAAGCTATCATTCTCCCAGGTCCCACTTATAGAGCAGAGGTTCTATCCTGGAAGGAGTGACTCAAAAAGACCTTGGGCTCCCATTTCTCCTCCAAAATCCCACTTGTAGGGTGGAGTTTCTATGCCAAGAGGAGAAGCCAAGAAGTTTCCTCAACTCCACTTGTAGGATAGATGTGTCACTCCAGGAAAAATAGGCTGCCCCTTCCACCTCCTCTATTGATCCGATGCAGTAAATGAGACACCTGTCCAGAGGGAGAAGAGGAAGGGAGGGCTGGAGCTCCACAGCTCCATGGAAGGAGTTGCCTTTATTTGCTACACAGTGGGGGGAACGCATGACTTAGGCATTGGTGAATATAGAGACCTTAGTTGTAAGCGATTATAATTCTAATAGTTCTATAAAACAACAACAAATGAAACAGCAGGCCATCCAGAAGTTTAACAGAAAGAATCAGGGAAATAGCTAAAAAGTGGCCTGTAAGATCATAGTTATAATAATCCATCTGGAAAGCTGTGCACATGTCTAGGTACACACACATATCAAGGACCAACCGGAGCAGGCACTTGAAAGGCACTAGTCACTCTTAGACATGGGGCAGGCTTGAAGGAATTCCCAAGTCATACACAGATCCATGAACAAGGAGTGGAAGCCTTACTGGCTCAAGGGGCCTAAGCGCAGCCACTCACCGATCACTGGCTAAACATTACGTTTTTTTGAGCCTGGGTGACTCCTGGGAAGCACATGGGGAAACTGAGCACTGACATCAGAGGCTACACACTGTTGGGGAAAATAGACTCCACGGAAATTAGTCCAGGGAAGCCATGAAGCCAACTAATAAAATTAACAAAACAGAGCAACATCAATGATCCCTGAGAGGGATGTATCATAATCCAAAGTTGCCACACTGTATTATCTCAAAAACTATGAGAGATGCAGAGAAACAGAGTATTATCACCTTCAATACAGGAAAAGTAGTGGCAATAGAAACTACTTTGAGGAGGCCCAAATTATGAACTCATATGGCAAAGACTCCAAAAAAGCTATTATAGTTTCAAAAAGCTAAAGGAAATTACGTTTATGACAGTAACTCATCAAATAGAGAATATCAGTAGGTAAACATTATTTGAAAGAGCCAAGTGGAAATTCTGGCATTGAGAGGTAACAGTACCTGAAATGAAGGGTCACTATAGGGGCTCAACAGTAGATTTAAGTTGGCAGAATTATCAGTAAATTTGAAGCTAGATTGTTAGTATACATTCTGAGAACAGAAAAAGAATGAAGAATAATTAACTGAGCAGCCTTCTGGTTTCTTGTCTGACACGGAATAGTCTTGGAGTTATCAGTCCCATTTTTTAAAACAAGAAAAACAATCTGAACAAACTGGAAACCAACAACTCTTCTTGGATCTTGCAAAGAATTGAGGTCACAGGACAAACCACTGCTATGAATACTAGCAAGGAAGGCAGACACTGGGAGGTTAGAGGGGAGGATGGCTAAGGGCTATAGAACGTGTTTCCCAGGGGATGGTGACCCGTGTCTGTGCTTTCACTGAAACCCTTGAATGCTATGCTTTGAATGCGTGAATTGTATGATATACAAACTATATCTCCATAAATATGCTTTCAAAAATTGAGTTGCTGAGTCTGTAACATAAAGAGATATAATATTACAATACAAAGGAGAGGAGAAGAAAAGTTATGGGGAAGTAAGGAAGTATTAAGTAAGTGTGTGTGTCTTGTCTTCTCTTGGTTTCTTCAAAAGATGTAAAATTATGTAAAGCAACAATTATAACACTGTATTGTTGGGTTTTAATATATAGAGACATGACAACAATAGCATAAAGTGAGGGGTGGGGCAAATGTTCTGTGTATCTTGGAATTAATATTAATCTGAAGGAGATTATGACAAATTAAGAGATACTGTCTAAGCCCTAGAACAACCACTGAGGAAATAACAAATAGTTTAAAAATCAGTAGAAACTCTGCCCTCAAGAATGGAGAGCATAGGGCGCCTGGGTGGCTCGGTTGGTTAAGCGACCGCGTTTGGCTCAGGTCATAATCCTGGAGTCCTGGGATCGAGTCCCACATCAGGCTCCCGGCTCAGCGGGGAGCCTGCTTCTCCCTCTGACCCTCTCCCCTTTCATGCTGTTTTTCTCTCTCTCTCTCTCAAATAAATAAATAAATAAAATCTTAAAAAAAAAAAAGAAAAAAGAATGGAGAGCATAGCTTTTCTGTCCTGAAGTGTGTGCTGTGATAGTGAGCTCCAAAGTGGACAGTGTAGAAAGAGAGGGGGAAAGAGTAACTTTACAGTGGAGAAATGTGACAAACACTATCTCAGATGATCAGTGTTGATACCAACACTGCTAAGTCAGGCTGATAGCGGGTACCCTTGCTATAATATGATGAAACGGTACTTTGCCTCTGTCATCTTCCTCCCTAAAAACACACAACTGCAGTCTAAGCATGTGAAAAATATCAGAAAAATCCCAGTAGAG